TTTTGAAGTACCCGGGCCTCTCCCTGTTGTGGCCTCTCCCGTTGCGGAGCACAGGCTCCGGACGCGCAGGCTCAGCAGCCTTGGCTCACGTGCCCAGCCGCTCCGCGGCATGCGGGATCTTCCCGGAACGGGGCACGAACCCGTGTCCCCTGCATCGGCAGACAGACTCTCAACCACTGCGCCACCAGGGAAGCCCTAGTCTTTCTTGAACTTTTCTTTCAGCTCTAATATTCTATATGATATAATTATTGTTATCCTTTCTAGTGTTGAAACATATGATCCCTATGCCTATTCCTATATTGCACTTATTTAAAGTAGATAATTAGTTAGAACTATAATCCAAGACCAAGAAATTTTATTGTCATGATTATAAGGGAAAGGTTATGATGTCAGTTATAATTTTACTATAATGTCAATTATAGTAAATAGTCAAGTATCCCATTATGACACAAGTTTTATAGGGATAATGAGGTCTTTTGGTCAATAAATCATTCCATTCTAGAGGCTTCTGAGCAGGAAGGATAATGGCATCCATTTGAATCTGAATCTTTTCACACATCTTCCCCCAAGAAACTATAAGTTCATCACGGAGCACTGATTAAATCACACGTGACCCATGTCATCAGCATTACTAGGAGGCAGGGAATATGCCAAAGTTCAAATTACTTATAAGTTAAAAAAAAAAAAAAAGAAAGTCCAACAGCAGCTGCTATGAGCCTGTGGGTACAGAGAGTAGGGTACCGAGATGTTTAAGAGACTACGTGAAAAAGAGAGAGAGAGAGAGATTAGGACATAGGCAAAATGAAGACAGTCATCCTGTGAAAGAAAAGCACAAGTAAATGCCAAAATATGAAGACAAGTCAATATTTACTGGCTCTCAGTACTGGCCACAGGAAAGGGACTCAAAATCAAGCAAAATGCAAACTGGCACCCTCAGACAAGTGTCATTTCCATAAAAGAAGACTAGCATCTAGAATGTACAAAGAACTCCCAAAACTCAACAATAAAAAACTAAAATGTGCCCAAGACATGAAGACACATTTCACCGAATAGGTAAAGAGATGACAAATAACCACATGAAAAAATGCTCAACATCATTAGCAATTAGGGAAATGGAAAATTCAAACCACAGTGAAATATCACCACATACCTATTAAACTGGCTAAAATAAAAAATAGTGACAATACCAAGTGCTAACAATGATGAAGGAAAACTGGCTCACTCACGCATTGCTGGTAGGAACGTAAAATGGTATAGCCCCTCTGGAAAACAGCTTAGCACTTTCTAAAAAACCTAAATGTGCACCTACTGTATGCAATCCGGGACACTTTTTCCAGAGAAATGAAAATTATATTCATATAAAAACCTATAGGGACTTCCCTGGTGGCACAGTGGTTAAGAATCTGCCTGCTAATGCAGGGGACACGGGTTCGAGCCCTGGTCTGGGAAGATGCCACGTGCCGCAGAGCAACAAAGCCCGTGCGCCACAACTACTGAGCCTGTGTGCCACACCTACTGAAGCCTGCGCATCTAGAGCCTGGGCTCTGCAACAA